CAACACCCCGTTATACATTATCCTCATGATGGATTCATTAGAAAACAGTATGTTAGAATTGCCGATGAAAAACCTGCTGTCAAACGAGGGATCCTAGCAAACAGTTGAAGGAAAGTGCAGTTAATTCATAGGCGGAAGTTTGCAATCCATATGCAATCCGACGAGCCATTTTACCGGTTGATAGGTTTTAGTGCTAAATAATCTTCCTTAGCTCTTGATGGCTCTCTCTCAGTTCCGAAAAACATAGGAAACGCTCGCTGAGTGTTCAAATGAAGATATAGCACAACTGCAATAAGAAATGCGACTAATATTCATCAATTCAAAAGCTTCATCTACTGCAAAGGCATGCATATGAGAATCACTTATCAAGTACGACATAAGTGTAATTACAGCTTGGAATGCACATAATCGAGGATTATGGTAGTGAGGAAAATGAATTGAGGTCCATCAAGATATGGTAAATAGCAGGTCGCTGGAGGTCTCCCAAATTTTCCTAGGGTACCCAATTGCTTATCCGCTCACATCGGGAATCAGTTCGATTTTTTTCACCCATCGTGCTTGTCTTGGCATTCTTTTGTCCTCAAACGTCCCGCTGTGCCACCTCCAAAGGGTGTACGGTTTGGAGGCGGTAACGCTCTCATCCAAACTATGCCATGCAACAATTGTTGTATATGTTCAGAGTGCCTCTTTGAGGAATCTTAAATATAATTACAGCGTGAGCTGACGTTTTTAATTGCACGTTAGCGTTGGGAGAGTTGTCGAATGACAGGTATGCTCACAATTCGGAAAAGTTCCCATATCGGTGGCTTCCCCATTTATAACAGAGCTCCTTCGCTGCATTCAGTGATAACACGAAATATATGCAAAGGTGTCTTAGAATTTTTTTGAATTTATTTTCTTCTTATTTCCACAAAATGTTTCAATAAGTTTTTGGTTCACGCAAAGCTACCTTCTTCCCCATTTTACTTTCTCCTTCTCTGCTGCGATACTCCTTGGGAAGCAACTGCGCGCGATTAATAGAGAACTTCACATCAA